ATATATACATAGATATATTATATATGTATGTATTTTTTTTAAAGGGGAACTGGCAGTCTTCAAAAAATGGACTGTGTTTTTTTGAGGGTGAACTAAATTCGATCAAAATTTGTCGTTGACTTCTTCTCAGAAGAAAAAATGCTCAACGACTACTAATTAATACTGGTCTATATTAAAATTTAAAAAGTGATCAGTGTAACAGTTTGTAATGGCCCCTGCTTGAGATAAAATTTGCTAGCCTTAACTTCCAAAAGACTTGATATATAACTCGTTTACTAGTAAATAAAAACCAAAATTGTAAAGTGAGAGAATAATTGCTTTTTTTAATGTAATAATCAAGTGTTTACATCTTTCAATACTACATGGGAAGTATGTTCTCAGAAATATCGCGTTTATATAAAAATTATTGAGCTGTAATTTGAAAAACTGTAGATGTATAAATTTCCACTGTCCTCTCTCTGACTGTCTGTTCTTCCTTAATCTCGAGAAGAAAGTTAGATGAAATCGAAAATTAATATGAAAAGCTTAAGGCAGGAAATCGGATAAACTATACAGGAACTTCCGGTTTGTACCGGAAGTCACGTTACATCCGAAAGTGACGTATATGGTGGAGGCGAGGCCACTTCCAATCAAATCAATAATTAAAAAAATGATTAATGAAAGTTTCCTTTTTACTTTTCCTAAAATATTTTAAAAGTTTATGCAAAATTGCCTTATCAAAAGCTATTTAATTAATAACTACACCAATATCAATACGAAGCAGTTAAGGCGTTAATCTAGCATGCTGAAACTATGAAACTTGGTGAGCAACTTCCCAAGAAATTTATGGTACTCTTTGCTTAATGGAACATTAGTCATTTTTACTACTGTTTTTAGTGAAATCAATATTCTATTTCGTAATTCTATGCTTAAAATTACAATAAAATACTGAACAATTATCAAAAAGAAATAAGCTTACTACAATTTGTATGTTTTGAGTCTGACATCAAGTTTCAAAGTCTACAACGTTTATACCTGTGGTTTACACGCAAAATATTATACTTCCTTCTTTCACGTTATTTCTTATATGTTTTAGCTCAACGGTCTCGCACGGTGACTAAAAACCACTCTTTCAAATCACGGCTAATTCTATCGAATACCCACTGCTGCGGAAGAACACGTTTGACATTTTGTTTTCTACATGTAAATCAATTTTCGTACACCTCGACTTTGTTTTACATCGAGTAAATATATTAAAACATTAGTACAAATATAACGCATATAATCATTTCGATTAACAATTTTACTGGAAATGTTTCCTAATTCATTATGTAAGATTCCAGTCTCTAGGAAAAAGCGAAATCGCAATTTCTTAGTCATTTGACAATTGCCATATTCTAATATCTAGTTTAAATCGAATAACAACAAACTGACCAAAAGAAAGAATTACAAAGAACTTTGAGCGAAACATTACAGTATCTAAGTTTGGGGCACAGTTCATTACCCCAAAAAAGCAACGTATTTTACATTACCACATGATGTTGAATGATGCAACTGAAGCGCCATACTATGCAAAGGGTTGAGACAATAAAATTTAAAATAAATGTTAATGTAACTTTTAATATTATCTTAATTTCGACCTTATTACCAAATGACAGATAATAAATATGTATATGTATATTATACAACTAGAAGTTGAAATTTAACTTCTTGAATTATGCCAACACGAAAATATGCTAATCATTTTTGATATAAAAAACGTGTATTAACAATCATTGTTTAAATTCATAAATCGCTTTTATAGTAAATAAACAAAACTTTTATAACTTTAATACATACTTAAATAGGTAGGATTGCATTCCGATTAACTTTATATACAATTTAAATCTAAAGTAAAGCAAATAGGATTTCATCGATTCACTGGTGTCCCGTTAAGCAAAGGGTTCTAAATTTTTCACTGTCGGTCTTCTCTGGATACGTTGCTACCCATCTCTGCTATCTGACTACATACTAATGTGACCCTGCTTAAACCCACGAATTTTACAAAGACAATTATGGTATCCACAAAAGAGAAGAGTCAAAAATGGAAGAAAAAATAATCCTAACAGAAGAAAAATGTTATCTTAAATTTTTGGAAATTTTGTTCTTAATATTTTACAAAAATTAAAAACATATTGAACTTCTTTAACATATGTAAACACAATCGACATTAAACCTATTATATGCCAGCAGATCAATAAAATTTCTCTATTACGTTTTACAAATTATAGAATATAGTTAAAGTAACACGATAAAATATGTATTTATAATATCATTAATATTATAATATAAGAACCCTACGTATTTAACTTTATTTTATATAAAGAATAAAACTCACCAATATCTTTAGCTGAATACGACATTCTCGAATAAGTTGTAGGTTTTTCTGTTCGAAAACTTTCAAATAGATTTACTTGTTGCTTTACCGAATACAATAATTTTGGAATATCTAAAGGTTTATAAGTCATTTGCACCAGAACAAAATTACTAATGTTTTGTTTACGTCCTAGTGTATTACCATCGTCAGAATTTTTCTTTTCTCCTTTATCAAATGTTGATTTCAGCTGTCTGTGTTCCATTTCAGATATTCAATTCTATAATAAAAATTAACATTGTATTCCATACATTTTTGGAAAAAATTTATTTAGAAACAAGAGTATAGTTGAATGCAAGAGTACAGTTGGAGTAAGATTACTGTGTAGAAGAAATGTTTTCTATTTTGACGTCTAGAATGTTTTTCTCTATTCAGGCATTTCATAGTCTTCTTTTCAACAGAATACGTCTTTCATTCATGATTTTTAATGTAATAATTTTAAGTTAAAATGCCTAAACCAGAACTCTAACTGCACTCTTCCCATTGTATAATCTGTCTTATTTTAAATAAACATACTTCATTTTTCAATAAGAAAATCTAAGTTTTATTTCTAAAAATTAAAATTCAAACTTACTATTTAATGACGAAAAATTATCTGTAATATTGCAACAAGAATGAATACTTCTCGCATTAAACTTAAATGTAAATATTTGTGAAATCTCATGCGAGAAATTCGTAAATATAAAAAGAAATGTTTTTATTTTAAAATTAACTGTTTACGTCAATTCTTAATTTATTTATCAGCAGTATTACATTAATTTATACTTTTATTTTAAATTTTAATTATATAAACAAAAATTAATCATTTGCATAATTCAAAATCTATTGAAACATTTTATTTTTGTCATTGATTTTTACAAGTTATTTATTTTCAACATGCTATAAATTTTAATTGAATGAAAACGAAGTATTATTATTCTTTTATGAATCGATAATTTTTAAACTTTTATTCATGATTATTATTATTTGCAATACGCAAATTTAAAGTGACCATAAAGTTTTTATGCACGAAATTGTGTTTTAACGTAAACTTTGGACTTGAATCTGTTCGATTTTTTGTTGCAGTAATTGTTAACAATAAATCATAACAAACTTCTTATCATAGATATATTTAAGATTATATTCCCGTAAAATATAATTATATACGATTACTATTAAGTACACACGTGTGCTTTGCGCAGAGCCGTAACTAGGCAGGTGCAACAGGTGCACCCGCACAGGGTCCAGTTGGAAGGGGTGCCCAAACTGCTGTTCACAAGAAATTAAATTTTTAAATTTATAATTTAAAAATATACATTACATTACGCCTTACTTAGACCCTAGATGTCTGCTCACCAGTGTTTCCAACTGTGGCGACTTTCAGAGGGACGTAGTAAGGTAGCGGAGACCTCAGACAAGTCAGCCAAAAGTAGCGACTTTTGATATTTTTTAATTTATTTTTTGAGAAATTAAAATTTACGTTTATAGTTTTCAAATTTACAGATTTATCTCTACTTTATAGAGCTTTCTGGCAACTACTAATATTATTACGATATACAAAACTGTATTTCTAGATTTTTCTACAGTGTGCAGTGCTAGAAATCTGTTAAGGTAACATTTTGTAACAAAAATATATCTGCCCAAGGATTTTTTTAAAATTACTAAATTCAAAACGGTAACTTCCGAATGAAATCTTAGTTTCGAGGTTGTAAAAGGCGTCGTGCAGAAATTCTGACATCAATTTTTGCTTTGTAGTGGTACGCTTATGTGGTGTATACCTTAACGGTGGATTAAGCGGTAAGCAAACCATGTGGGCGCGTAGGGTTCAAAGCAGCTCCTGCAGTCTTTAAAATGCTACTGAAAAAGGAGGCTGCGAAAACGCAGTTTTCGCAATCTCCTTTTTTTGCAATACTTCCATGTATCTATATATATCGAAAAGGTTTTTTTTCAACTATTTCTTAGCCCAAAAAAAAAACGCTTCGATATATATAGATACATGGAAGTAATAAATGATATAGCTTTATGGCCAACAATATTAACAGATGCTGTTATTGCTCATATTCTTAAAACAAACCGAAAAGTATAGAAAAGAAATTTCTTAATAAACGAAAAAAAAGTTAAGATAATAGAAATAGATAAAACACCAGATGAAAAAAGAAACTTGACATTCGAAAAATTATTTAAAATACAAATTTACAGTGTTCTTGACACTCTATTGTGTCAAATAGATTGGAGTTATGAAAAAATTAAACTATCTGTGAAGACTTTTGCTTTCACTGTGGCTCTTCTTTACAATACATGAGTTTTCTTATTTAAAAAATTCGGCTGCAGATCTCCTATTAAGGTAAACGCACCGGTAGTAGTGAACACTGCATGAGTAGTGGACACTACAAATCATTTAGTCTACTGAATGATTTGTAGCCATCTACAACCTTATTACTCATATTTGAAGTTCAAAGTGTCCACTACTCATGCAGTGTCCACTACCGGTGCGTTTACCTTAAATATAGCAAAAATTTTAAAAAGTACAAATTCACAATTGAAATTGAAAGTTTTAATTTTGAAATAACGACTCTTATACAAAATATAGAAACTGCATCTCTGCTTAATATTCTACAGAATTTTCATGATTTTGGTTTAATTGAGTCTTACCCAAATATCAATGTCGCTCTTCGAATACAGTGAAAACTGCTTAGGCGACCACCTGCATTCAACGGGCACCTGTCAAAACGGGCAAAATTTTCCGGCACCGAATAGTTTATCCATAGAGTCTTCGTATAAGTTTCCTGTATTAAACGACCACCTGCGTAACGCGACCGCGGGCATCGATTTTTGGTTTGAAACGACATACAACACCTGTAATAAGAGACCACTTTTGCGAATGTTTCTGATCTAAACTATTGTTCGAACCCTCCTCAACAAAGTGTTCCCCTCCTAACATAATGAATTAGTTTAAACTCTTGTTCGAACCCATCCCGGGCACTTTTCCCACCCCCGAAATTAGGTGCAGGTGTTAAAATGTTCGGTCTGGGACCCGAAAAAACTTATAAAATAGACATTTTCAAAGACACGGAGAACTTCTCCTCGTCTTCCTATTGTGTGGCATCATACGCTGAATAAGAAATCGCTTCTGTATCGAACTGGATTGCACCTCGACTCGTGATGGACTTTCTCCTTACAACGCCCCGGGGCCCGCGACCTTCCCAAAAAGATCCGAAAAAATAGTTCCAGTGGAATTCACCCTTCGACAGAAGAAACAAATTAGAAGACCCAACTTCGCTTACTGTCAATTGTTGTAGCTGTAAGTTTATCCCTTTAGTTATAATAAACCAGGTAACTATTTGTAACTGTGGAGTTTGTCTCTATACCTAACGCACCCACTAACGCTTCCCAGCTACTCAAACATTCTGACATCACGCACGGTTTGGCAACCATACGATTTTTATAATAATTTTTCTCTTGGTATAAATAAATATAATTGTTTCATAGAGTAACTTCATCAAACATACTTCCATCACCGTTTCCTACGAAACTCTCATCCTACAACTCGAAAAATCAATCTTTAAATATTGCGAGTTAAAACGAGATCGATCTTTATACGTTTTTCGCATTAGATTTGTTATTAATACAAAACTTTAACTCGTCTTGCGATTGTTCAGACTATTCGCAAGTCAAATTCTACATGATNGGCAAAAAACAAAGGATGGAACAAGAGAAGTTGACCCCGCAAGTTCCGGTAGCCTCTCCTGAATCTGACTCCGATTAAAAAACAATAAAAAAAAGACCCGCTGCAATATGTAAAAAGTACGTATCTGTATGAATGTGTAAAGAAAGTGTTCTTCCACCTCCTCCTCACATCTGACTACCCGGCATAATTGGTGTCTGCTTCATTTTCATTTTTTATGGTACAGTACGGTTATTTTATGCTGCGGAACGAATTATATGTTTTAACATGTATTTCTATAGGAAAATGCGTTCGTATAACGAACGTTTCACTTAACGAACGTGCACCTGGAACGGATTAAGTACGTTGTACGAGGCACCACTGTATATCTTTTATAATTTTTGATTATTTGGTTGCTCCTTCTTCTTTTCTTTGGCGTGTTGTGAGATTTCTGATAGTTGGATAATAAACCGTTTTATTCTAATTAATTTAAGTTGATATTAAAATTTGAAAAAGAGGGTTCCTAGATTGGTACAATAGTCGAATTTCCTCTCACAACTTCAGTTGTTATCCAAGATACAATTAATGTTCACGCGAATACATAATTAAAAAGCTATTTGTAATAATTTTTGTTCATTTACTTTATACGTTTACAAATTANAATAATACGATTTATTATTTTTTCTCATAATACGATTTCATTACATTCTGCGATTGTCCAATGACAATCGCGGAATCAAGAAAGGAAGGTTGCCGTAAAATTGATTTTTGCATTAATGCGTTTATTGTTTTTAGAATATTTTGCGTGCGAAAATTACTTGGATATTATTTTTCTAAAAATACTTGGAAATAAGGTAGATTGATACAGAAACTATAACACATGTACTATATATAAGCTTAAAGAAATAAATAAATAATAAAATTTTATTTATTTATTTATTTATTATCAAACGATGAGATCAGCCGATTAATTGTATCGTGTACAATATTTTTATACCCCTAAGAAAAATTCTGTAGGTCTATGGTAAAATAAATTTCGTTTTCCCACAGTTAAACTTCGCGGCTAATTGCTGTTGTGATAACTTTATTAACACGATCTTCTAACGACAGCACTTTGCATTTCTTTCGTTTTTCGGACATTTTTCTAAGAAACTGAAATGAATTTCCTTTGTTACTTGACTAATTTATTAATAGGTCGTTTCTGACTCATCTCCGCTTTTTAATATTAAGATAACACTATATAAGCTCCAAATTTCGATACAAGAATAATGCGACTACTGAGCTCAATCTATCCTATCTGAAAGTTTACACTTATTCGCGTGAAGAAAGTATTACAATTATTTCATTCGTTTCCTGGTGATGTAGAGCGAAAACTCTTTATTTTTTATTGAGAAGACTTCTTGTCTCATTTTTCTTTATGGGATCGATGTATCAAACGTAAGGCAACAGGAAACTTATTTACATAGTTAAATGGCGTACGCCTGACGAAAAAAACCTGGATAAAAAGTAACCTCCACTTTTTATATCAAATCAGTGGACTAATGAAGGGTGTCCACGATTTGTTTTTGTCACTGCAAAAAATTTCGTTTTAGAAGAAACTTTTCTTTTTTTTCCGTGAATCAGAAGTTAAAGATGATGTAGGCCTACACTGATACACATTCCCCTTTTTTCAAGTGAAAAAGAATATTTTAAACTAAACTAATTTTTAAAAACAGTTTAATTAAACATCAAAATGTTCTCTAATATAACCTCACTGTTATTTACTTTTTCCGCCCTGTTGGCACTAAGTGGACCTCTTGTAACAAGCCTATTCGGGTTCGGCAAGGCCCTCAATGGGGCGCCAGGATAGTGAGGGACGGGACCGACATATGCAGACAGATCACCCCCGGAAAATTTCTAAGGATTTTTCGACTCATCCGGATTCTCCGTCTTAACAGCGCGGCTTCTCCTAATATAATCCCGGTTCTCACACATTCTACTTTACTGATCGGTCATTTGACTGGAGGTTTTCAGGCATTGAGAAAAGCTTTTTTTCCATATGTACTGTGGAGTCGGCCAGGCCCACAATGAGGAGCCCAACGTACTTGAATTACATGATTCAAGAGAATTTAAAGAATAACCCAAACTTCAATCTGAGTTCTTCAGAGAACCGCTACAAAGAGTTGTACGTAAAAAGTTTTCTTATAATATTTTTGGTTTAATTAAAGAATTATTATAAATCATATCAATAAAATTTTTTGCATAAATAATCTAGTAAAAATAATAATTAAAATAAATAATAAAAGTATACTTTTAAAAAAAATATTTGAATTCAATTTTTAAAAAATGACTAAATTCAATTATTACCAGAAGAGGACGATGTGTGGCCAAAAATGGCGAAAATGGAAGAAGTTGACTTCGTTGTAAGTTAATACACGTTAAAGACGTTTTTAATTTAATTTATTATAAATCTGTATTAAATATGATCAATACAAATATGTTCTGTGAATATTACTGCGTTATATGCTTCAAAATTACAAATATGAACAATTGTCAGTTTTTAATATGTCTCGTGTGAAAATTTATCTCCAAAATAAAAACAATAAATATTTTACTTAATAAATTCAAGGTTAATGTTCAGGGTCGGAGACTGTCATGGCGGCTCGTCCTGTTTTAGCCTCGAAACCAGACCGCTTTGGAGACGACGTGTCACGTGACGACGCGAGCGAACGGCGGCGGCTGCTGCGCCGCGGCAGCGCTGGCGGCTCACCGCTGATTCCAGCAAACGAAAGGAAACAGTGGGGACGCACGTTCTAACCTAACCTAACCTATTCTGATAAATTATCATAATTATTACCAATTATATTATTAGAATAGGTTAGGTTAGGTTAGAACGTGCGTCCCCACTGTTTCCTTTCGTTTGCTGGAATCAGCGGTGAGCCGCCAGCGCTGCCGCGGCGCAGTAGTCGCCGCCGTTTGCTCGCGTCGTCACGTGACACGTCATCTCCAAAGCGGTCTGGTTTCGAGGCTAAAACAGGAAGAGCCGCCATGACAGTCTACGACCCTGAACATTCACCAAATTCAAAATAGACATTTTAAACAGCATTTATATTATATTATATTTCACATAATATTTAACATAGAAAATATGGTAGAAGTTACCTTTAGCTACTTTGTATATATATATACACTTATATACATATAAAATTACCTAAAGGTTTCTTCTAGATACAAGTTAAGGAAAGTAATACTGCCTATTCACCATGCAAAGTGAGCGACAGCAAGCCTCGACCTCTGTTCCACATGTAGTTGTGTGTTATTGTGCAAGCAACTGTGAGCATCTTGGCACATGGATGGGAGCAAGCCCCTCCACGCTTCCCACTATGTAACATCGAGTAATGTGTGAACAGTCAAATAGGCTACTTGAAGTCGGCATTGTCGTGGGGGCTAGATGGAAGTTTGAAAACACTAATCTTATCAGGAAAAATGTGAAAGTGCCCTTCCCACTCTTTTAAATTTAATAAGAGATGGAGCCTAATGCTTTCCTCTAGTGACAAATTGTTTAGAAATTAAATAAAAATAATCACGGAAAAGTAGCATGAATTAAATCGTGCTACTTTTCCCCGATTATTTTTATTTAATTTCTAGATAGTTGGGTAGTCGTTTGGCTTATTATTAACGTATCGGGTTTCGAGATGTATTTATATGTATGTTTTACTTAACTATCCCCTAAGTAATTAAAAAAAAAAACAACAGTAGATACCTTTTTCTTAACTCATATCAAAAAGTTAAAAAGGAACCAAAAGTCTTTCATTGTTAGATGAAACTTACTCTCAGTTTCTGACATAAAAATATCAAAACATTATAGTGGTTATGAAGTTAAGAAATGTTTTCCTTTATTAGTGTTGAAATGATATGAGTTCACAGAATATGTTTTTTTGTAGATACAAGAAAGATTTTTATTCCTCCTCAAACTCTTTACATAATTAATGGATGTCAAAAAAAGTACATTATTGTACACAATTGAGGAGGAGGAGGTTGAAGCATTGTCTGTATGAACTTTTCATTGATGTCAGTTGCCATGTATATTTACTTTTATACAGGGGTGATATTCGAAATATTTAACAAAGGGTTCGCTAACAGAAAATTTTTCCTTAACAATTTTTTTTGCTCAAATGGTGCATTAGCAACATTAGTGCAAAAACTGACCTTAAGATACCCATATAAATAAAAAAAATGCATTCGCAAAATTAAGTAAGTTAAAATTTAACATTTTTTATGCCAGAACTATATATATTTATAAATAATAAAAAAGAGTGTTCAAAATGGTTTATTTTGTATATATTTTATTACGACATGTGTTCCGCAGCCATCTTGTATTTTCTCGCGCGCGTGGGATTGTGGGATCTCTCTTATGCTGGATCTAGTTTCAAGAACTCTCTTGAGTCGACCGCGATTGAACCTTGTTTCAGTCGAGATTGAAACGGTCGAGAAAGGTCGCACAGGGTATAAGGCTATAGTTTAGTAGTGTTACAGAGTATAATACGTATATTTTAATATATTTTTTAAAAGAAACAAAACCACTGAGAAATGTTGTGTGTGTTTAACAAGGTTCGGAAAACTTTGAAAATGTTAACAACGGGTTCGGCCGAACCTGTGCGAACCCGCAGAATATCACCACTGCTTTTATAAGCTTATTTAGTAGTAATGTGAATAAACTATCAGAAAAATTTTTCAGAAGTCATTTCTTCAATGTTGGGGGTTCTGAACTATTTTACTGTACATGTAATTAAAAGAGGAGTTTGTAAAAAAGTACATGATTTTACACAACAGGAAGGAAAAAAGTCAAAAGTACCTCAGAAACTATACATGCAATTAATGGACAGCCTATATTCCTAATTAGTTTTAAAATAAAACATGACACTTGTAACTGGCATCTTAATGAATAACTGGACTATAATTTATTATTGTGAACTTTTGAAGTTTTTATTTTTTGAATAATTCATTGGTGATTCTACTTCTGTCATATTTTAGAATATGTTTTGTTTTGCTATGGTAGCTGTTTAATGAATCAGAGTCAGTTAAAAGATCAAAAATATATTTTTCAAAATATTAATGCTTATCTTTAGTTTATATGAGGTTAAATATTTTAACAATCATCCTCAGAAATATACTATACACCAATGAAACTTGATTTGTAGTATGAAGGATCATTTTCATCAATTAAAATTTTTAATGAAAATTATTGAAAATAGAAAATAATCTCAAAAAATGTTTTTATTAATAAATGATGTGTGATTTTTGAAGTGTAGTTTGAGTCTTGATACCGTATTTACTCACATGTAAGACGATCTTGCATATAGGATGAGGTGTAACTTTAAAGATCAAAATAAAGAAAATTAGATTTATTAATACAATTCTAATTTTATTTTGTTTAATCACAAATAAAATATTATCAAATGCATGTAAATGCACACATTGCCCTGCAGAAATTACTGGCATTATATATTTTAAGGAAAAATCTTACAAAATTGACAACTTAATTTGTTCATGTAAAGCTGGACAATCTGGAATGTTATTTGCCAATTCTTAATAGTTGAATCCATTTTTTGTTGATTACTCTTATGAGTTTCTCCAAATTCTGATTTCCAAATAATCATCTGTTTTCACCTGGGAATGGATTAAAACTTATATCGGGCTCTCATATGACTTTGGAATTTCAATTTTGAATTCAATTCAAAAGTTTTTCTTTTTCTATTGCTATTCATCTTTACTCCTGACAATAAACAAGAACGATTTAAATGACCCAGATAAAATAGTTTTGTTTTTAAACATCAGAGGATGAGCATCCAGTAAAAAATGCAAATACAAAGTTCACAAAAATTATTGCAAAATTGCAAAGAATATTTTGCTTGTGCAAATAGGATGACCTAGGTTTTTGAAGCAGTGAAAAATGAATAAAAACCTTATTTTATACATGATTAAATACGGTAATTTAAATTGATTTCAAATAATTGATTGTGACTCTGTATAATGTTTGAACTAAAAAATAATAAGACTTACTTCTAGTATAAACCAAAACGGTGCTTAATTTACTTTAATTTCTTTCAAAAAAGTTCGGCACAATCGAATATTAACTGATTTGCTTGTTTTTCACCTGAAGAAGAACCAGAAGGTTCGAAAACGTTAGTGAAAGAAATTAAAGTGAATTAAGCACCGTTTTGGTTTATACTAGAAGTAAGTCTTTTGAAGTTACGGTGTGTGTTGGATGTAGTATTGTTTAAAAAATAATAATAAAATATATTTATAAAATACACTACCCTACAATAATGGACAGGACACCTGTCAAGTTCGGTGGTGGTGGTGTTCTTGTTTGGGGGTGTTTTTTGTGGTATGGCCTGAGAACTTTGCATGTTGTTCCTGGTATATTGAATGCCTATGCCTACATATCAATTCTTCCTACAGGTCTTCCTGTAGGAAAGGACAATCAGGTTCTTCCTACGCTCTGGCAATTTTATGGAATGGACGAATGTTACTTCCAGGATGACAATGCTCCATGTCACATTGCAGCCTCTGTCAAGCAGTGGTATCAAGATACAAATGCCAACCGTCTTTCCTGGACTGCTCAGAGTCCCAACCTAAACCCAATAGAACATTTGTGGGACGAGTTAGAGCGACACTTACAAACCAGGGAACCACGTCCAAAATCTACAGCTGAGCTGACAACATTCTTGAAGCAGGAATGGACACAAATACTCATTAGGGCAGTGTTTCTCAACCTCTAACAAATCATAGCCCCCTTCAACATAGTATTGACCCCTTCAGTAAAACTGTTATGTAGTATTGCCCCCTTCAATACAAAATTTTGATGCTGAGGGCCAAGACTAACGCCAAATTCGTACTGCATTGATAGACTAGTGACTAGTATAATGTTATTTGTTTAATTATTGTACGATATAACAAATAAAATATCTAATTATTCTTAATACAGTAGAGCATCGTTTATCCGAATCAATTGGGGACTGGGGACTGGGGTTGTTCGGATAACTTATTTTTCGGATAACCGATTATGTATGAAAANAGTTACGGTGTGTGTTGGATGTAGTATTGTTTAAAAAATAATAATAATAATAATAATTGTACATTTGATACTTTTACCACAGAGAAGTTATTAATTCAATAAACATTTCACTTTAAATTAAAGAAAAATTGTAAAATGTTTATTTGAAACTATATTATTATCATCATCATTATTGTGTTAGTGGAATGTATCCTACACAGTGTATATATTGGTGTCTAGTGCTATGCTAGACCACAGACCAAAGTCAGGGCATAACTGTAGAGTGCAAATGTTTTGTTTATGTGCTGTTTGCATATACAGTAAGTATTTGTGTTTAAGAATTTTCTGATTACGTGATGTGTT